TATAATTACCCGCCGGACTTTAAATAACCATCGCGGCTCGCCGAATAGTCTTATTTTTAAATACTGTTTAATCATTATTGCCCATTGGTATGCTGGGAGGGAGCGATCCCTTATAAATCTTACTGCTTAACTCGGAATGCTTTGGCGTGCTCGGTTACGTGTTCCCCGTGCCACGTGCACTTGAAGACTTTGGTGAAAAACAACATGAGCTGCATTAACTATTTCGATATAATAACTTATTCGATATTTTGTTCCGTGAGGACGATTGCGTGCTCGCGTACGTGTCAAAATACAAATGGCCAGACCAGGCTGCCCGCTGTCCATAAACCAAGCACAAACAACAAAACCGCCTATCTATTAGACAAAATTCTTATCAATTTCAGCTATTCGCTTCCTCCTTTAATTAACTCCATTATTTACAAATGCACTTTTCTTGTGTCGTTTGCTCGTCCTGTATCTGCCACGTCAATTAGAGGTGGCCTTACTATATTTATTCATCCCCTTTGTAAGAAATATTACATCGCTGATAAATAATACTTGAGCGGTCGAGTTTATCACAAGCGCCCACAGCCTTTCGGTAAAATCGATCGATATATTTACTACAGCGGCAATTAATTGTTAATTAATCTCATTATGCATTCTTTTATCTTAAAATTTCCTCGTCTCAGGCGAAATTCCAGCGACAGCGTAAAGTACGAAGTTGTTGGGAATAAAACCGGGGCGGGGGAGGGGGCGTTGGCTCGCCACGTTTCCGGTAAACTTTCTCGGCCCGGCTCGGCCCAACAATTAATAAACTCCATCGGAGGCCGGTATGGGGCCCAGGGGGAAATAAGGGAGACACGGAATGGGAAACGTGGTGAGATGCATAAATTAGTAGGAGAAAATCCTCGAGGACAAAAAAAAATAAGAATATTCGAGACGTGGCGCGGTGCGATATTCGGATCGTGGCAAGCCGAGCGAAAAATAGAGCGAGGGGTGTAATCAGCAGTTGTTGCCGCAGCGCGGAAGAAAAGCGCGTGATTAGCGACGCGGAAGGAGCCCGAGGAGAAAAACAAAGACCGCGAAGCGAGAGCGCCTACGAGAGATAAACTCGTGTGCGTTTGTGTGTACAGAGCATGCGGGAGAGGTGGGTGAGACGGGACTGATGGCGGTGGACTATGAGGGGAATTGTCGGGCGGGTGGGGGTGGCGGGGCTACGAGGGAGGGGATGTGGAGGTGGTAGGGGATGGGGAGGGGGATATTTGGAGGGGGATATGGTGATGCTGGGGGGAGGGGGGGGGGACAAAAGGGTAGCCCAGGCAGTAGAAGAGAAAGGCCGCGACGGCACGAGGGAAAGGGAGATAGCGGAATGAAAGGATGATTGCGTACGTGCACGTGTCGAGACCACAGGTGCACTCGCGCGCATTCATACACGCGCGCGCGCGCGCACGCTCGCTTGTAGCCAGAGTTCGAGTTAGAGAGAGAGAGAGAGAGAGAGAGAGAGAGAGAGAGAGACAGACTCGGATTTTAGCACGAAACCGATCCCTAAGCACGTCGCTCGTGCGGCCTTGCTTTAAGAGCGAGATCGTAGGTGTACGGATTCTGCTTCGCATTCCTTTACGTAAAAGTCACGGTGTAGCTTTCAAGCGAGTTACACTTGTCCACAATTGTTTGCGCTTCGGGTGGTCGAATCGAAAGTGTGGATGTGCCTTGTAAATATCGAGGTTTGTCGTCCTGTTGCTGCTCGATACGTCCACCGCTACCTACCCCTCTACCCACCCCTCCTTGCTAACTGCCACCGTCACCCATCCACCCACTCCTCCCTGACTGCACTCGAGCTCAACTTGTCTTCGCTTTTCTCAATCTCGTGTAATTGCCTCGCTCGAGCTACAATTATTCGAGACCTTTTGCTTATTACAAACATTACGTAAATCATTCATTGTACTATCCTTTACTCGCTTAAGCAACTTGTCTCATAAAATAGATTTCATAGAGGCCTGTTTGATCGGCGAAGATCCAGTGGGATCAGCTCAAAGTCGTTCTCCCGTGTATCGGCACTAATCGACAAGACGAAAGAGGCAATTTGAGAATATTGCTCCCGACTGAAATCTAAAAATAGCAGCTCGCAATCCTTAATCCTTATCGCGAATTTGACTATAACGATCGATCCTTATTATCGTAGACTTGTGCGTATGGCCATGGGACTGTGCATACAGACGCGGTGAGATAGACGGGATTCGGGAGAGATAATGGAGTCATTGACCATTCGTACGTGCGGCTTTATCAACGAAATTCCTAGGGGCATCTTTCAATTTGGCGCTCAAGTCTCCCCGTGCATTCCCGTTCACCTGTATGCGATGCAACAGCAAGCGCCCGATAGGCCAAAAATATAATCACGGAAGATGGAAGATTAGCCACGCCAAAACCCCAGTGCGGAAGATGCAAATGCATCAACCCGCGCGTGCTCGCCGGCGTTTTATTGAAATTCAATCGATTTCGCGATACTCGCCGCCGCGGTCTTACTACCAAGCCTGCATTCCTTAAACTCTCCTCAAACCTCCTACCCGCCGTCGCGCGCGCACACCCGCCGCCCCTCGCGACGCCCCTCCACAGCCCACCGCTCTCAATCGCCCTATGCCTTATTCATGAGTTATGCGCGTGCGCTATGGCTTCGACATATAACTGCACGTAGTCACTCGGCTCTCGTTTGTTCGGCTACATTTTATCTTCGTCTTGCCGTTGTTGTGGTCCTCGATTTTTCATTTTTATTTTTTCTTTTAGCATTTATTTTTCTTCTTGTTTTCGTTCGTTTCTTATTGTTATTGTTATTGTTATTGTTATTGTTATTGTTCGTTCGTTTGTTTCTTTTTATCCCTTTTTGCCGATGTGGTGTTCGCATGGCCTTGAAAAAAACGAGAACCGAATGTAATTCGCATTCGACCTTAAATAGATTCTTTGCCTCTATGTACCTGTATAGCAAAGTATTTGATTTTACTTTCTAATCCACGGGGATCCATACATAATACGCTTCCTCCTCGTTCTCGTACGGTACCGAACGGCTGCTTGCGATCCCTGAATCTTCGGATCACCGTTGATGCTTGATAATGCTAATGTCGAATATCGGCGCGCTATAACGGATTAGGACGATCGGAAAAATGAATTAGAATGCCTCGCGAGACTTAAATGTTGCCGCTCATTTTCGTATTATTGCATCGCTAATGCGCCTTTGAGCCTAAAAACTTATTAATTATCCATCCGTTGGAATATACTTATTACAAATAATAAACTAAGCGATAATTCAAATATTTTTTATCAATGCAGATATCATCTGTCTTTAGTTAAGAGATACTCCAAGCGTTAATCAATTGTGCGATCAATTTTATAGCGATCAGTGACATGATCGATGCATAAGAAATAAAAAGTGTAGAGTGGCACGACAAAATGGATAAATGACGATTAAATTTATTTTATAATATTTTTCATTCCCTTTGAATAATGTGCATTTAATATAGCGTTCGGATGAAATTCCTCGGCATATTTAATGTCAAAAAGTAATCTATAAGAAGTGATCTACAAGAGGTATAATGTATCGTGTTTATGTTGGCGGGGAATGGGGAAACTACCGTAAAAGCCGAAGAAATAACATATGAATGGAATGTACATGTCAACACAAGTGCACGTGTAAATGGTGATGTCTAGATAGCCATAACCATTAGCATTCGACCTGCATAAACTATACGTAAAAAATAGATAAGTTTTAACGTCGAATTTTTTGTCCATTCTTTTATTGTAATTTATTTGATAATTTAAACAAAAAAAAAAAATTTTTTTTAATTTATTTTTGATTTTATTATTTTTTTATTTTTTAATTTAATTTGTTGTCGTTGTTGTTGTCGTTGTTTCAACATGACGCGTGTAGTTTTATGATTATAATTCGCGTTGCGCAATTTGCTGAGCGACTCGGTAGATTTCGTAGACTCTATGTAAGTAAAATAAACGCGTTTGTCGACTGTCTTATGGGGTAAGCTTTTTCAAACATTTATTTAATAAACTACATGAATGCATTACGAGTTTGGAAATAATTTCTCTTTACAATTTGCGTACAAGATGCTTCGGCATTTTATTGGCCAAGAATTTAAAATGTCATAGTAGTATTGCGTTTCTTTCATTTACGAGCCTTAAAATCATAGTGAAACACATACTGTCGAAACTCTTTAACGTAAAAACTTATGTAATTTTTCTTGTCATACGGTTTGCTGAGTGAGAGCAAAGTGCGCGCCATTTCTATCTAGATCAATAAGATACTCGAGGGAAGAAAAAAGAGATGAAAGAAAGACAAAAGTAATAAGGAAAGATAAATGTACGAAGGAAACATTAAACACTCGGGTACACTCGGGTGAAAACGAACCTCTAAATCTCTATTTTGGCTTTGCTCGTCAAGCGAAGGAGCTTTATCATTAAGGCATCGCTTATGAAGCATGAGCTTGTAATACATATACCCTATATGAGGGGCCGGGCAACGGTATTACCCTAATTTCCCCTTATATTCAATTATTTGGCAAATCCTTATTTAAGGTTCCAAGGTGCCGGGCACGCTGGCATACGCTATTGCGAAAAATGCGCAATATACGAAACATCGTGAACAATGTATACACGCACGTGACACAGACGCATAATGCGCGCCTACATACAAAATGTATTATTCGAGATTTAATGCGGAGTTCCGACGTCTCCTTAATTACGATGAAATGTAGGTTACAACGGTTGCGAGAAATAAAAGGTACGGCAAAGTCCTCGGAAGCCTTGAGATACCTAATTATACTGGCATATCAATTTCTCGGCATACGTTACATTACAATTCAACAGTTAGTAGCTCCAACTACCCAGGATTCCAATTCTAAACTCATTTTTCATCAAATTCCGCAGCAATTTGACGGGCTGGAGCGCGTGCCTGGGCCCGTCCGAAGCTTCGTTGATCGCCCGAGGCTAAATGAAGAAGCGTCCGCGCATCCGATACTAACCTCATCGGTAATATCGCCGAGATACTGGCGATCCTCGGTCTCGAGCAGCTCCTCGATCTCCTCGCGGCTCTTGACGATGGTCTCGTTGAGCTCCTTCTGGACGATGGCGCCGCTCTTGGCCACGGTCGACCAATCGACCTTCTGGGGCTCGTCGCCGGTCGTGCGCCTCTGTAATTGATCATCGATACGGTCACCATTAATCGCCGGCCTTCGTGCGTCGCTGGGATGCGCGCGTAAAGGGGCCATCGTTGCCAGCCTTGCGAAACGCGAAACTCACGCGAAGCCTCCGCAACATCATTCGGATTAAGCGAGATCGCAATTTTCCCATGACTCTCTCGCCGAGCGGGCAATCATCGGGCACGTATATTTGTGTTATGTACTTTTATCGCGACTCGTAGGCATTCTAGCCGGATGTTCAGCGGATGTTCAGCGGATGCGTCGGGATACGAATATCGCCTATTGCGCATTGTGCGCCGCGTTGGCTTTCACTTCTCATTATGCATCGTAAGAAATTTTGATTGCGCGCGCGCGCGCGCGCCGACAGACCGACAGACCGACCGACCGACCGACCGACCGACCGACCGACCGACCGACCAACTGACCGACCGACCGACCGATCGACCGATCAATCGACCGATCAATCGACCGATCAACCAACCGATCAACCAACCGACCGAGGGACCGAGGGAGCAAATAGCTTTTTGCATCTCGCGCGACATCCGGATAAAAAGCCGTATGGAACGAGGGGTCCGGTGCTTGGCTTCGACACGAGCCGTGTCGATCAACGACAAAAATCCTTCTCACCGCGATATCGCCAACTTGGGAATAGCTATGTAGCGCACTAGGTTAGCGCTGTCGCCGGAACACCGGGACGTCGCCTCACCGGTGCGTGCTTACAAGAATCTCAGACAACGTGACCTCGCGCGATTCGACGTCTTCCTCTCGGTGCACGTGACGGATTTAGAGATTTTAACGAGCTAACTGTCTTTTATTACGGGACCGCGTTAGCCACTTGGATGCCACTCATAGTCCTCTTCATATGCAAATTACGGCAAATATTACATTGTACGAGTGTAGTTGTAAGTCTCGTGGCAAGATGAACGAGGACGCGAGACGTTCGCGTTTCTATGCGATTCGATCGATTTATGTGCTTGATTTGTTGAACTTTCGAGCGATGCCGGCGGATGTGGACTGTGAAACGTAAGTGGATGGAAAGACGAGTCAAGATGCTTCTCGGAGACAGAATTCTTTAATGGACCAAAAGGTCTGTTTACCGTTGTTTGACACGTTAGCGGCGCCAGTATTGATAAAGATTTAGAATGATTTTAACAATTGTCGTCGGTCGACTCGCGATCTGAATGTTGAAAACTTGGCTCTGACGAGGCCGACGCGATAATGCTTAATTTAAGCATTGTTGTAGCTGGTCGAAACACCTATAATATTGTAATAGGACAGTACAAAACATCAAATGTCTATATTATGCGAGATGAAGTGTGTACGTTAAAGTGCAATTTAATTGCGAGTTCAAGTTTACGTATGTAAAATGAGACGATGTGTAAAGCGCGTCTTTAGCACTTTACAATTTCTTTTAATTATATTTAGAAAATCCGGAATTAATTTTCATATTAATTTATAATAGATTAGGAAATTTAATTATGACAACAGAGGCTCTTGATGCAAAATGTGCATAAAGCTGATAATATGTATTAGAGAATTCAGTTCAGATTATCTCGTTTGAAACATTACAATTGCGTAGAAAAAATAATTTCAATGTTGCTAGTTAATGAATGTTATAGGCGTTAAATAACCACGTAAAAATATTTTCTTTTCGATGCTCATTACGGTAAGTTTATATCTTAGTTCTCAAAATGTATCTTATAATGAATATTCAGTCAGTGTCCTTTAAAAATAATTAAGCCTTGTATTTAAATTACATGATTTTCTTTTTATCTTTTCTTTACACATATATATTTAAACGATTATCGTGATTTATGACGATTCGATAAATATTATTTAGCAAAATATTCAATACTTGTCTAATCAAAAGTATATAATATTATTTCATTGCTATATTACCGAATAGAATATTTCATGCCTGTAATTATAAAAACTGAAGTCGTAATTAAAATGCTATTTATTTTTATTACAGCCGAGTTATTGCACGCGCGATCTAAATGCAAGTGCGTACAAAGAATTTCACAAAGTGTTAATATTACTTTTATGTTACTTTATTATTAATTATAAATTTTTTTTTTCAGTAAACGAATACCATAACTTATAATAAGCTGCGGAAGGAGAATTCAAATATAAATTCATTTCATTCGAGTAAGTTTACAAAAATGATTAGTAAATCAAATACGTCTATAGTGCGTATGTGTGGGTTAATTGTGTATTTAAAAACATTAAATGTAGCAGTTTAGTACGAACGATGGATAAATAAAGTCGCAACTAAATAAATGCGAATGTATAAATTCGTTCAATAAAGATCCGTTGGACTGGTGTAATTGTTAGCGCACGGCGTCTTTCCATCGATATTGATGACATCGAGCCTTTGTCAAGTAAAAGTACTCCCGACTTGTAATTTGAAAAAGGCGGAAGTTTCAATGCATCCTAAAAAGACCTGACGTTCTGTTTCTGCCTCCCTCCCCCCTTCACCCCTCCCTCCCTCACTCCTTCAATCACCGTCTCGCGCGCTCTCTTTCCAGTCTCTGTCTCTATCTCGTTCTGTCTGCCCTTCAGTCCGTTTGTCCGTGTGTATTTAACAGAACGATCACCGCTTAACAAAAAATCGCGAAATAAAGCAAAAATACTGACTTCCTGTGTGGTGTGCTCCTGCTGCTCGACGTCTTCCGTCGTGTTTGTCGTGACGAGCGGGCCAGAGTCGACGACGACCTCGCCATCCTCCAGGACGACTTGACGCTTGACACGGGTCTCGATCTGGCGCGTCGTCGTGATCTCCTTCTTCTTTCTCGTTTCCCATTCCTCTGCGGCTCGCAAAAAACAAACCATTTCCCGTGAGGAATTTCACCTTTCTTTCTTTCATTTTGCTCGCGGCTTTGAGTAAGGCACAAATCTGAGCTTAAGAAATCACGAATATACGGACTTCGGGATTTCGTAAGCCAGTGTGAAAAGTGACAAGTGTGAGCAAGCGTGAACAGAAATGATGATAAATGTGTAAGAAAGAAAGACAGAAAGAAAAAGAGAAATCATGCGGTGTAATGTATTTATATAGAAGATAATAACGTAAGTAACGATAGCGTACCTTCCTTGACCGTGGCGACGGCGTTCATCGGATCGACCTGAAAAGCGCAAGTTGGATGAAATGCCGGGGATGCGGAAGTCCTGGCTCGCATCGTTACATCGACGAAAGCGTCAGATCGAAACGGCGTTGGGGTGGTAAAGTGTGGGCGATTGGTGGTAGGTGATGGGTCGGGGAGGTGGTGGGGGAGGAAGAGGCGGAGGAGAGAGAGACTGCCGTGATACTCACTAGAATAGAAGCATGAGAATCGGCCGGAGGCCGAGCCTCGTATCGACGCGTCGAGATCACCTCCATCGCTCCAGTCACGCTATCCCGCGAAGATTCATCCTGCTTCCTGACCTGCGAACGAGAAAAATCTCTTTTAAGGAAAGCCTTGGGAGCGCGGATCGAGGCCTATCGCGACCCACCGATCGCCGACGTACGAATGTCCCGAGCGTTTATTGCCCCGACGATGAAACTGTTACTCGCGGAAGAAGAGGAGCCTCGTGTCACGGATCTCCGACGGGGAAATTCGATTCGCTGCCTCGTGAGTCTGGGCTTTTGTAGGACGGATGCCAGGGGAAAACACGTCCTTCCTTCGATCGTCTTCTCCCTTTTCGAAATTGATAAAATCGCTTGCCGAGCACCACTCGTTATATATTCTTTTTCTCTATTTACGCCGCGACGTTTATCCCTCCCCCCCCCTCCCTCCCCCTCTCCACCACTTCCCCAATCCCATTTTCAAACTCAACCACAACCCCAACCTCCCTCACCGTCTCCTCGTCAAACCTGACGTTCGAGTGTTGTTAATTGAAACTAATTAGATTATATCGCGTGCTCTTATTGCGCATATATTTATTATGCTTTATTGTTCGAAAATTTGTAATTTCTTGGGCATCGCAATGCGTGAAACGTAAAATGAATCGCTAATTAATAAGAAGCTATTATAAATATTATTTCGTGCGATTACAGTACTATAATCTTTGAATAAAATGAAGGTCAAGTGAAACTCGCATTTTATACGTTTCGCGGAAATCTTAAAGATAATTTAATAAGTCCAAGTGTAATATGAACCGAATGATTTCTTATCTCATTAGGTTAATCGCACGTAATAAATATGTTTATCGTCCGATTTTTTTTTATTACATTCATAATTACATCAAAGTTTGATTTTTATTTCAAGTGACAATAAAATTTGCAAGAAGTTGTAAAGCGTATCGTGTAAATTCGATCTTTAACTACGTTTTCCAACAAGGTTTCTCATAGAATTAAGATTTTGAAAATGATTTTACCAGTAAGAAGGAGATGGCGAAGAAGGAGAAGAAGAAGAAGAAGAAGAAAAAGAATTTTCATCTCTACCAGCAGAAATAAAAGTTCTATTTACTTTGAAAGATGTAAAATATTGTCGAATGCTCACTTATAAAACTAATGTGCAAAATTAATTTCAAGTACAAATTCAATATAATTTAAAAATAATTATTACGAATATGTAACGCAAAGTATCCCTTATTAAATGTTTGTCGAATAAACTTTTATAAGCAAATTAAGGCAATAAATATTAAAGCAGTTAAAAGTATGCGGGAAATTTAATAAATTTATTCAAACTATATTAAATTAATTATATGGAATTTTACTCGTACAAAATTGTTGCACAAGAAGGCGCTCGAAGACAAACGGGTTTAAAATGGCTTAGTATTACGTGTAAGCAAATGTAGATTATTACGCTTGAATGAGTGTAACTTCGTTAATCTTTTGGATTTTCATATCAAACTAACCACTAAATATTAAATAAAAATTAAAAATTTAAAAAAAAAAAAAAAAAAAAAAAAAAAAAAAAAACACACACACATACATATAATATACAATAATAAACGGGTTTGTTTGTTTGTTTGTTTGTATGTTTTTTTTTGTTTTTTTTTTTTTATATGCAGAAACAATATACGCTCGATGGTGGCAACTCTTTACTATTACAAAACTAATAATCGGTTATTTCAACGCATAATGATAATTACAAATGAATATTCGACAAAGAATAATTCACTGCTTTATGATAAGGTTGACTTCGTAATTGTTAGTGGAATGCATGAATTTAGAATCGAAATTTTCGCAATAAGAAAATGGACCTGTCGTAACTTTATAGTTAAGGTGGTAATATATACAACACAATGGCTTATGCGTTTAAAAAGTTAAATTTCACAAATACATACACGTTGCAATGGTTTACGGCTGCTACGGCAGTACTTGCCAAAGTCATAAAACTTTAAACAAACTTTCAACAATGAGTTAACAATACTTTTAAAATTATGCCATTAATGGGAATATTGTCTCCGGAGAACAATGTTGATAGACAGAAAATAAAAATAAATTGCCAATGTACATCGTTAATGTCGTAACTGCTATTTACAATGTCATTCGAATGGATCGAGGCGTACGTAATTTCAGTACACTCAATATATAATTGAAATTTAGCGCGAATGTGGCTTTTAAAAGATTGCGCGTCCGTCTTGCTTGCGCAGAAGATTAATTTAAAGGCGCATTTTCGCGCAGATTATAATTTGCGCACGACATAAATCACGCACCACCGAGATTTTTGAAGTCCAACGTCCTCCTACTAATTTAAATATCTAAAATACTTTGTCGAAATAATCTTCGACTAATCGAGCGTCATCGAGTCAAATTAAAATTCGTACTTATGATTATAAATACGCGACATTCCTTATTTATTTAACTCTTCGTGACAAATAAGGGACCGAGACATTCCTGTCTCATATAAGGTAAAATCTTGTCTAAAAATGAGGTTTTGCGCCAGGGCTCGGTAAATCCGGGAAAAAAATTTAGTACCGGTTTTCAACGAAAAAAGTCTTTTTTTTATTTTTATTTTATTTTTTATTTTATTTCATTTCTCTATTTAATTCTTCTTTTCATTATATTTATTTATTTATTTTTATTATTATTATTATTTTTTTTTTATTCCCCCGTATTAAGCTTTATGTAAGATTCTTTCGGGGCATAATGTTAATAATACTTTTGCTCGCGATTATCACATATACAACAGCACGATAGAAAAACATATTTTCTTTCAAACTGACAAAATATTATCTGGGAATTTGTGCATCGTGCATAAGATAGAGACGCGTCTTTGGACGCGAGCAAAAAATGCATAAGCTCGCATATGTAAGTTTAGCATTAAGAAGAGGGAGAGAGAGAGAGAGAGAGAGAGAGAGAGAGAGAGCGAGAGAAGAAAAAAGATGAAAAACTCTGCCTCCGTCCCGAGTGTCAGGGCGTTTAACTTTCAAGCTCGTCCGGGGAAAGAGAAAAAATTTTTGTTCACTCACAGGTCGCCCGTAAAAACGAAGCCCATTGCTGCAACTTTAGGATTAAATTTCAAATAACACTTTGGCCATATTAGTCGGCGTGCGCGCGCGCGCTCCTCGGCATGCAAATCTACGGGCCGAAATGCAGAGTTGGGAAAGAAATCGTCGGGAGGCCGGAGAATTCCCATTCGCCTTGCGAACAATGAAACTCGCGCGGGCCATCACGAGTGAGACAGGCTCTTACGCACATTTCTCCGCCACTGCGAATTAATTCCTAAAACACAGGCAGAGTCGATTATGGAGGCGGGAAACTCTTTAATGTGGACCCCCGAGCGCCGGGTTAAACACCCCAAGCCAGAGCACTCCTTGTCATCGGCAGATAAGAAAAATGTCACGAGCGAATAAGAAACGGATTGCGCGTATTTATTTTGTTAGTCGGGTAGGCGTCGTTGCGAAATTGTCTAAAACTGCGAAGCCGAGGTTTGCGCAGCCTTCGTTACACGGGACGTGACTGCTTTATTTAAGTGAGCCTGCTTTTTTGGTAATATCGCCTTACGGCCTCTCCTTATACGGTCTCGGCCCAGCCAAGATTCCCTCGATATTTCATTTAATTCAATCAATCGGGCAAGGGCCTTCGAGGGACCAGGGACCGGTCGCCTGGTCACGTCCCTCGCCCTTACGCCATCTCCTAACTGCCGACGTCTCTCTCTCTCTCTCTCTCTCTCTCACACTCTCTCTCACACACTCTCTTTCGCACACACACACTCTCTCTCACTCTCACTCTCTCTCTCACTCTCTCTCTCACTCTCTCTCACTCTCTCTCTCTCTATCTCTCTATCTCTCTATATCTCTATCTCTCTATCTCTATCTCACACTCACACTCGATCTCTTTCGCGGACGCGTGAGTCGCTCGGTAAACATTCGCGCGACTCTGCTTTTAAGACAGCGGCTCACGCCTTCCCGGGAGTACGGAGCCGTGAATAAAGGAGGCAGTCCGAAGATGAATATTCATAAATCGCGTTCGTGTCTGTCATTGGAGTGCGCGCGCGCGCCTCGCCTCGTCCTCGTTTTATCGCGGACCGGCCGTTAATAACGATACCGAACCCACCAATAAAGCAACAATGAAAAACCATTAGGAGACCGGGGAGATAAGAGTTTTCGCCGACAGCTAACGATAATGTACCAAGTCGGCCGCCATTCTAGCGGGCCCACGCGCGCCTTTCCGCCGTCACCGCCGCCGCCGCCGCCGCCGCAGCCACCGCCACCGCCACCACCACCGCCACCACCACCGACCAAACATGGCACCGACGCCCATACGAGGCTTCCACCCGTTTTTCCCCCGGAAAAGCGACGTCCTTGCGCGGCGCGCAATTGCGCCTGTAAATGGCCATCGCGGGACCGAGTCACGTTACGTCAGCTCTCGCGCGCTGCGTCACATCTCTCTCACTTTTTCCTTTTCTCGCTAACTCACAGCCTGCCGCTATGCCCATCTCACA